GAAGCCATTCATTGTTTACAGTCATGTGATCTGCTGCGATTGGTCACATGGTATCAGCAGTGGGCCAGTACACTGACCAGTCATCAGCAGGCTGGTACTCTGATCAGTGAACACAGCTGGTGACAGAGGTGGCCGCAAGGCTTGTTCTGGGAGGACGTAATATGATGTCCACCTGGAATGACAAAGGTGCCGCACGCCATCAATTTGCTATAGGCTGGGTGAGATGCGGTTAAAGGCAAAACCTGTGGTAACACTTTTGGGACAGTTATAGCAACAGTTTTCTTTTCCTTTTGGGTTTCAGATTTCAAATAAATCGATAAAGGATGACCATTGTGTTGGTTTGACATAGTTTGTCCCAACATTTCAACTGCCATTTTTGCTGGACAACTTGGTCTGTTAATGGAAAATGAAAAATACAAAATTTACTGGCTGGATCACCAGGTGAAAATAAAGGAAAAAAGCCTAAAAACAGAAATTGAATGTAGCTACCACACCTTAGAAGTGGTAAGCTTCAATATAATACATTGTTGTATTATATTATTACTTTAAAGCACATACACAAAATCCAATTTTTGCTAGTTTATTTTAGAGAAGATCAATTTAGCATATATCAAACTCTAAGGAAACCGCTTTTATATTATGATTTAAATATACATGTTCATCATTTTTCTAGCTTAGCATGTCATGTTACATGGTGAAGAACATTCCCATTAAGGGAACATAGTTATATAGAGTACTCATGTAGAAATGAAAGGCTCACTACTAGCTCTCTGCTGTGCATTACTAATGGTGTGGGTAGGCTTCTTAATAATACACCATAGTGCACATTTTATGGAGGCTATGAACTAAAGAGGGAAAAGTAATACAGCTTGTCATAGGGGAAACGTATATATAATCTTACTTCCCAGAAAAAAATGTTTCTTTGTAGCATATGTTCTTGGGACTGTGGAATTCTGTGCTTACAACTATTATTTGGAAGTTGCAGTGAAGTGTCAATATTTCCTCTTTTGAAAGTCATGTATGCCTTTTTCACAATAACATAACATGAGTAAAAAAAGAACAAAAATTCCCAAAAAGTAAAACAATTGCCAAGACTGACATAGTAACTTACTCTGACCCTTGGATCGTCTTACAGCTCAAAGCACCAGGTTCACTTCCACCCTCCTCAGCAACATATACTTACCATCTCTTCTCTAGCCAGTTGCCTTGTTCAACTCTTGAAACATACAAATGATTGAGGACCCCTAAGTGCCAACACTGGATCAAATAATAAAGTAGAACTATAGGCAAAACTTTTTTTTTTTTTACATTTTGGATAAAGTTAGGGAAGGGTATAACCCCTGTCAGCTTTTAGCTATCTGTTTCCCACTGGGGAGATGTGACTTCACTTCCTGTCCTAGAGCCAAAACAGGAAATTAGAGCAAATCCTTGCAAACTAAGGGAATCCCTTGCCCCCCCCCCCCCCCCCAGGTCACCAGAACCAGTGTCCCCATAGAAAGATTTCCCTAACAGCTGCTGCCCCACAATATCATTCCCAATACAAAAAATCCATATAAGTGCACTGTCTTTTTAAATACATATTAAAACATGTATAATCAGTGAAGAGTGCAACACATAATTAGTTAAAGTGCATGTGCAAAAAAGGTGCAAAGAAATTCATCAATAGCAAGAGAATCCAATATCCAAAATATGCAATCGGTGCAAAATCAATGTCTGAAAAAAATTTATATTCCTTAACTGGTGCACAAATAGACTGTCACAAGAAGAGGAAGGAAGGTGCCTCAGAGACGTTCCTCCAAAAGGATCACTAAGCTCCTTACCAGCCTGCTGGATCCCGTAAGGAGATTATTATACGCACTGCTGCCCTGCAGCCATAAACCTCCAGTCATGGAAATGGCACCCCACTGCTCCTGGATATATATACTCAGTCACAAGGGTAAAAGCCGCTTTTTTTATATAAAAGAAGACACTAACACAGTGGAAGAAAACTTCAGCATTGTTGGATACAAACGCTCAGAGATTCAGCTGACGTGCGTGATGATGTCATGTGTATAGCCCTACCCAACGCGTTTCTTTATAACGAGCATCATCAAAAGAAGGAGCCTGTGCTGTGGGAGTGCTAATATATATAAAGCATGCCCATACTTGAAAGGAGCAGTGGTACAATATAAGAAAGATACGTATATACAGCTGATGGAGCTAATAATAAAGTGAATCTGTTACTTTGACCTGCATGGAAACTAATACACCTAAGAGTGCAAAAGTATACAGGCTATGGACATTCGGATATTTACATATTTATAGCATTCAGTAATTTCTTCAAATTTTGAGAATTGCTCCTCAGTGCCTGTAGCTGTGGAGGTCAGTGAGGGCTTGTATTACAGATCATTCTCTGTGTGTTAAGTATATCTAAAGACTTGAATGTTTGTAGTGTACTGGAATTTTTTCTTTACAAAGTTATGTCTTCATATCCCAGATATGAAAGACACTGACAGGAGTGCAATAATATTCAACTCTGTATATGTAATAATACATTGTTTCAAATGCATGTCTATGTGTAACAGTCAGTTTACAGAGTTCTAGGGATCAAATTAAGGTATAGGATTCACAAAATTAAACAAATTCAAAACATCTTGAAAATAATTTGATTTGCATGGTATAAGCTCCATATTCATTCAGTCATCTGTTCTCAGACATTAATTTATATGTCCCATGTAACCATGCCAGCAGAAGGAAACCTTTTTTCCCACTGTTAGGTTATTCAGACTTTATTATAACTGAAACTGCTGGATAGGCACATGTGCTAGATGATAGATAAGGGAGGTTAAGAATGTATCTTCCCTACATGTGATGTTAAATGGATGGTCTTAGATATATCGTCCCCCCCACAGATGATACACTGCCCATAGAGTGTGGCAATATGGCCTCTCTGTGCATGTCCCATGCAATTAGACATTTACTCAGGAATGGCAGTGCTCAGGGATGCACCTGAAATCCATCACTGTCACTGCAACACTGCTGGAAGCAAGAGGGTCACTGCATGAGCGCAGCATCAGACAGATGAACTGAAAGATTCTCCTGCTATTGCCGCTGAGATGAAGTGTAACCCACTCAGGAATAAACTCATCTCCCACATCATAGCATACAGAAGTGTACAATGGGCATTAGCAATAAAAGGAAAAGTGTGACAATTCTAAAAATTCTAAATAAATTCCTGAAAGCAGCAATGTGCTTAAAGATATATAGTCTTTTCAGTTTTGTTCAAGATAAATTTGTTTAGGACATCATCGACCTTCAGCATTAACAACCCTCTAAAAGGGATGATGGAACCCAGTGGTAAGGGGTAAAAAAGGGACATATTTTATTTAAAGTGATTGTAAACTGTTTTTTTTTTAACCGCTTCCACACAAGGCACTTTTGCCCCTTCCTGCCCAGGTCATTTTTCAGGTTTCATCGCTCTCACACTTTGAATGACAACTGAGTGATCATACAACACTGTACCCAAACTAAAATTTTATCCTTTTCTGCACACAACTATAGCTTTCTTTTGGTGGTATTTAATCAACACTGGGGTTTTTATTTTTTGCTAAATTAACAAAAAAAGACCGAAAATTTTGAAATAAAAAAAAACACATTTTTCTTTGTTTCTGTTATAAAAGTTTGCAAATAAATAATTGTTCTTCATAGATTTAGGCCGAGATGTATTCTGCTACATGTCTTTGGTGAAAATAACCCAAATTAGGATGTATTATTTAGTTTGTAGGAAAGTTATAGAGTTCACAAACTATGGGATATATCTGAAAATTGATCAATCCTGAAGTACTGACAGCCAATCTAATTTCTTGAGGTCCAAGAATGTCAGAATAGTACAGATATCCCCCAAATGACCCCTTTTTGCAAAGTAGACAGTCCGACATATTTCATAAGAGGCATTGCGAGTTGAAAGAATAATTTTCACTATTTTTTTTTTACATGCTGTCACCAGTGCAGTACAGCATCATCATATAACTGGCATGGCGGTGATCAGGGACACTGACTGTTGATTGATCATTTTTTTTTTTTTTTTATTAGTTTTAATTTTTTAGTACATTTTTTTCTCTTTTTTTTAAATTTTATTTCATATTTCACTATGACCACATTAGTATAATGTTACCATAGTAACATTGTACTACTTTGTGGAAGTGATCAGTATTTTGTTTTTGTTTTTTTTTACACAATTTGCTTATAGCAAAGAATTACTTTGCTGTAAGCAAGCATTTACCTGAATGACATCGAATCATTTAGGGTTTTTTTTTTTTGTGCTAAGCTGTGATTTGGTCACGGCTAATCACATGACACAGCTGGGCTGTGATTGGCACAGCTTGTGCATGTGATCACTGTGACTATTCACAGCTAGACATACTTGTATACAATAGATAGCATGAAAGGAAGCCATCCATTGTATACAACTGTCATGTGACCTGCTATGATTGGTCACATGGTACTGGAGATGGGGCCGGTACACAGATCTGTAATCGGCCGTGTCCAATCGCGCCACAGAGTGGCCCTGCGGGCAGGCGCACTGCGCATGCCTGAAAGGACGCCATATGGCGTCCACCCGGAGGGACAAGCTGCTCGCCCCGGCCGCCATCTGGCTATAGGCCGGGCGGCAACTGGTTAAATATTAAACATGTCATACTTACCTACTCTGTGTTTCTCTGGTTTTGCACAGAGCAGCCTCCTGTTCAGTGGTTCCCCATTAGTGCTCCTGGCTCCTCCTCTTCATCAAGTGCCCCCATAGGAAGCCGCTCTCCATGGGGGCACTCTTGCAGGTTTGATTCTGAGCTGTGCTGCCTGCATATATAGACAGACAGCATGGCTTGGCCTTGTCCCTTGCTCCGTCATTATAGAATTTGATTGACAGCAGCAGTACCCCCTTCTGCTATCAATCTGCCCTGTGAGGAGGGTGAGAAAGGCGTAAGACGCTGCTTTCAGCACAGCACAGGATCAATATCAGGCTTAGGCAGGGGCGGACTGACCATTTGGAAACTCGGGCACTGCTCGAGGGCCCGGGGTCAGTAGGGGGCCCCATGAGATGCCCTTGGTACCTTTTTCATAGGCTTTTTTGAGTTTGGGCAAGGACACAGGGGCCCCATGATCCCCTATTGCCCGGGGCCCCATGAGTTGTCAGTCCACCCCTGGGCTTAGGTAAATATAAAGGGAGATTGTGGGAGATACTGCAGAACAAGAGTGTTTTTACCTTTAATGAAAGAATGCCTTTAGAATCACTTAGCTGACATAATATACAGATCAGAGTAAATATAAAAGTAACAATGATACTTTGTATCTCTCTAGTGTCTAAACAGTATTTCAAAAGGTAAATTTTTTGATGCAGCTGATGTATTTACACAGCAGCTGTGATGCAAGGCAGTTGTCAACAAATGGGGGGGGGGGGGGGGGTCTCAGAAGGAGAGAAAGACACAGCATACTATACCCTTAAACATTTTTGGACATGTGTGGAAAGCATGTCCACAACTGGTTAAGGACACTAGATGTAAAAAGAGAAATGCTACTGCACCTAAAAGTGAATAAGCAATATACATAAATACAATAACAATATGCCACTGAACATGTTGATTTTTTACTTTCACTATTTGGCCACGTTTTATCTTTGTTGCCACTCTTTTATGCCACTTTTTATATCGCCATTGACAGCAATTTGTTTATCTTATATGCAGGGGCAGACTGACAACTCATGGGGCCCCCGGGTAATAGGGGATCATGGGGCCCCTGTGTCCTCACCCACACCCAAAAAAGCCTATGAAAAAGATAATGAAAGGTACAGTACCAGGGGCATCTCATGGGGCCCCCTACTGACCCCGGGCCCTCGGGCAGTGCCCGAGTGCTCAAATGGTCAGTCCGCCCCTGCTTATATGTTATCTTTATGCTATTTAGCCACTGAAAATTTGATGTTTTTTTACATTCACTATTTGGTCACTTTTCATCCGTATTTGTAAGGGATTGCCGGCAAGATGAATCGCGATCGGAAATGCACATGCGCATAGAAATTCCCGGAGAAGTACTACCGGTTGTGTGCATGCGCGCAGAAATGCGTACTCGCACACACGCACGGCGAAGATTGGCGCCAGACAGCCTATTTAAAGAGTGCCTCTGCTCATGTTGAGTGCTGACTGGTCTTCAGCTCCCCCCGTGTCCTGCTTGTTCCTGTGTGAATCCTTTGTTGCTGACCCGGCTTGTTCCTCACCTGACTCTGATTGCTCTCCTGATTGATACTGGTTCCTGATTTCGGCTCTGTTCCTGACCTTGGCTTTCCTTCTGATTCTGTACCGTGCTGCCCACTGTTGATGACCCTGGCTATTCCCATGACACTGCTCCTGTCTCTTACCCTCACTACCTGCCTTGCTCTGGTGCATGCCTGGCAATCTACAAGACCTGCTCTGCTTGTTACTACTGTGCCTGAATCAGAAGATCATCGGTCTTCCAGAGTCATCATCTGCAAGAGCTGCACACAACAACTACTGGGCACTCTTGTTCCCCTGGGTCCTAGACTCCCTCTGTTCCAACTCCAGTGGGGTCAGGGCTAGTGAAACAAGTGAGGCCGACCTCATCATTTCAGTCTCTCATCAGGTACGTGACAGTATTGTCACTTGATACACATATTGTCGATTCACTCCTGTGGATATTCCTTTGAACATTAGTTATATTCAATTTTTTTTAGGAGCCCCATTGGGGTGCTTTGGTGGGATAGCAAGGTTCTAAACAGTCCTCTGTTGTTTCACCTTTGGAAAGAGAAAGGGCATAGCCCTCATTCTCCATCTCTGCAGCCTCAGCAGCAGAGAATGAATGGACAGGAATAGCTCTGTACAGAGCTTCCTGTTCATTCACAAACTGAAGCACAGTAAACACAGTTTACTATATTTCAATTATGAATGAACAGAGTCTCTGCATTCAGAAAAGGAAGGAGTCGGTAAATGACAAATTCACTGCCCCTTTCCCTGCTCTCCATCCTGACACATCTTCCACAGCAGCCGGTGGTAGAGGGGAGGGGGGGGGGGGGGCAGGAGGAAAAATCATGGGGGAGGGAGCAAAAAGCAATGGGGGGGGGGGGTGTGGCAGAAGGAAGCTAGATAGGAGAAGTGAAGGGGTGGCTGCATATAGAGGAATTGATCTCTCCATGTCCATCCTGCAGCCGCAGAATCCCCATTTCTCCTCCTATCCCTCCCACAGGCATTCAGCGGCAGGAGCAAAATAGAAGGATCGATTCCTTTATATGCAGCTCTTCCTATCCAGGCATACAGGGCCGGGTCGCAATTGCAGCCCCTGTATGTACATCACTGTCTTAGACACTTTTTTGAATTCCGGGAGTGTGTTTTATGCGATGATATTGCAAGAAATGGTGTCAGCCCTGCACAGTGTCTATTTCTAAACGACAGAATCTATCCCTCTCCTCAGCTCTACAACATAGAAAGAGTTGTTCAGTAATCCAAGATAAAAAATAGAAGGGGTAAATAAACTCCTTGAGAAAGCACAGAAAGTTTACAGGACACAGGATTTCTCTGATATTCTGAGAGAATCAAAAGGTACATTTGCACTTACTAGACAGAAACAACATTTTTTCAATGTTTTATTTACCACTTTAATACCAGACACTTTCACCCCATTCCTGCCCAAGCCATTTTTAAGTTTTCAGCATTGTCACGCTTTGAATTCCAATTACTTAGTCATGCAACACTGCACCCAAATTAAATTCTTATCCTTTTTTGAGACAAAAAGAGCTTTCTTTTGGTGGTATTTAGTCACCACTGATTTTTTGATTTTTTTTTTGTGATATAAGTGAAAAAATATAAAAAATGAAAAAAAATGTTTTTGTTAGTTGTTATAAAATTTTTTAAATAATCTTTCTTCATAAATTTAGGCCAAAATGTATTCTGCCACATTTCTTTAAATATAAGAATAACCCAAATCAATGTATAGTATTTAGTTTGTGTGAAAGTCATAAAGCCTACAAACTATGGTATATAATGTACTATCTTTGAAAATGTAGCAGTCCTAATGTACTGACTGTCTATTTAATTTCATGAGACCCTAAAATGCCAGGACAATACAAATACCATTCAAATGACCCATCTTTGGAAAGTAGATAGTCCAATGTATTTAGTAAGAGGCATGAGTTTTTTTAACTTGCAATTGTTTTGGCACAATTTTTTGGGAAATTAAGAAATTAAATATTTATTTTTCACAAAGTTGTCATTTTAACAAGTTATTGCTCAGACACAGCATAGGCATGCTTATAATTACACCCTTAAACACATTTTGCTATGTCTCCAATATAGCTCAGTGTAGTATCACCTATAGCAGTCCCAGTTTCTATGATCCAAGCAAGCCTAGCCTACTGGTACATGGCTAACCCTAGGAATGTCATGTTCACTGACCAGAAAGAACAAGAGGCTGAAGAAAGGAAGAACAAAATAGTTCCTGTGGATCCAGGAGTGCAGTTGTCCACGGGATAGCTGGGACTGGTGTCTAACAGGAACATAGTCAGATGTGCAGATGGGTCAGTTCGGGCCAGCAGCAGAGAGATGGTCAGCAAACAGGCAAAGGATTGGTCCAGGCAAGAGGCAGAAATGTGGTCAGTCTGTTTACCAGGGTCATTATAGATGATCGGCAGAGGGAACACTGCAATGATGTGGCAGTGATCCAGAACACCGCTGCTGTCTTATACTGGTGAGGTGACACTGGGACTGGTGTGGTGACAATCAGGGACACTGTTGCTGGTTCAGGCCTCTTTCATACGGGCCAGATCTGATTTTGCTCAGCTCTGATCCCCTTCTGAGTTGACTGGAGATGCTGGATTACCTTTTCATGTCTGCCTGGATTTGATCAGATTGGAGTTACCCAGGGGTAAACAAGTCCATTTACATCTTGCTACCCATACAGGAAAATGGAGGGTCCAGTTGGGTCCATCTTGAAAATCAAACAGGTGAACCTGAGTGGACCGCCCGTGTGAAAGGGGCCCTACACTGGTGTAGTGACACTGCAACTCGTGTGGCGGTGACCAAGGACACTGTAACTCGTGTGGCGGTGACCGAGGACACTGTAACTGGTGTGGCGGTGATCAGAGACAATATGACTGGTGTGGTAGTGATTAGGGACACTCTGAGTGGATTGGGTGTGCGGTAATTGGGGACAATGACAGGTACAGCGGTGATTATGGACACTGTGAGTAGGTGGCAGTGAATGGGGACAGTGGCTGGCGCAGTGGTAATTAGGGACACTGGTCTGGTGACACTGTACTGCTTTGGCAGAGATAATGGCTGGTTGCATTGGTATACAGTGATATCAGAGCAGCCAGCCGTTGCACATTATCACCGCCATGATGGTACACTGTCACCATAGTGTAGAAAAAAATCATTTTAATTTTATATATATATATATATATATATATATATATATATATATATATATATATATATAATATAGTGCATTCATAAAGTATTCAGACCCCCTTCACTTTTTTCAATTTTGTTATGTTACAGCCTGATACTACAGTTGTTTAAATTTATTTTGCTTTCATCGATCTACACTCAGTACCCCATAATGACAAAGTGAAAAGAGAATTTTAGAAATGTTTGCAAATTAAAAAAAAAGAAAAAGGAAAAACCGAAATATCACATTGGCATAAGTATTCAGACTGTCACATACCTGATAGGAGAATTAAATGACGAGGTCGGCCTCACTTGTGTCACTAGCCCTGACCCTGCTGGAAATGGAACAGTGGGTGCTGAGGGACCAGGGGAACAAGAGTGCCAGCAGGTGTTGCCTGAAGAGCTTGCAGTTGGAGTCCTGAAGAGACTGGCGAATCACTGGTTCAGGAACGGTAGCGATGTTTCAGAATCCCACCTGGGTTAAAAGGGCACTCCACTTGCACAACTGGATCAGGATAAGTGACGTGTCAGATCTTCCAGTTGACGAAGCAGGAACAGTTTATAGTGTGCAGAGCTGGTGTAGTAGACAGGCAGGTGGGCACTTGAGCAGGACAGGAAGCTGGGATCGGAGACAGGAGCAAGGTTACAGGAATAGCCAAGATCATCAATGGACTGGCAGTGAGGTACCAAATCATGAGCAAGCCAAAGTCAGGAAC